ACCCCACAAAACTCAATAAATGTTAGTAAATGAGCAAGTGAATAAAGACAGTAAAAATGTACAAATATACTGCTCTCTGTAGGCTTTGAATTACTGCAAGGCTTTGAATTACTGCAAGGCTTTGAATTACTGCAAGCTGAACCAAAAACCAAACAGACTGCTGTTTGGGGGAAGCACCAAGTCAGTTGTAAGCAAGGGTGTTTCTGAGTGATGCCAGGAACATACTATGCAAAATTCCCTTCAGGGAAATGGTGCAGATGAAGCTCTTTCCATTTGTGCAGAGAGCTGGGCGTGGTGGTGCATGCGTAATCCCAGCACTCGAGAGGCTGAGGCAGGAGGATCGTTGCAAGTTTGAGGCCAATCTGGGCTACAAAGTGAGCTCAAGGCCAGCCTGAACTGCATAGCAAGACCCTGTCTCAAAACAAACAAACAAACAAACAAAAGAAACCTTCACCATTTGTGCAGAGACCTCAGCCACAGACGGGACCTCACATCCTTGTACACTGCAGCGCATGCTGAGTGGACAGGAAAAGAATCCTAGTCTCACATATATGCTTCGGGTGCTCTCCCCTTCTTGCCTTTATTTTCAGTAGACTGAAGAACCAACAGGCTATATCTTAGCTTTTTAATTTCCCCCAAACATTTTCCAAATGAACCATTCTTATCTTTAATCACTTTGGGTAGGTGACTATCCAGCCTCATTTATAGAAGCTATTTTTGCCAATGGATGAGCTTCTTCCAGACAAGGATAAAGACATTAAAGACTGTCTATTAAGATTCTGCTTTAGTTGAGATAATAATTTGAGGGCAATTAGGCAAATTGTATAGACTCCAATGGGCCATTAATCCCCAAAGGAATTGTCTGAGCGGGAGAAGTCTTTAAATTCTGAAAAAAAAAAAAAAAAAAAAAAAAAAAAAAAAAAGATCGGAGTTTGGCAGTAGTTACATTTTGAATTTCTTTCCATTAAAATGAAAGGTGACAGTGTCAACAGGTACTGTCTTGGGTAAAAAATTAACTTCATGTACTTATAGCCTTTATCTTACCTTTTTGCATGGAAAGACAGACATAACTAAACCTTAAGGGTTAAAGTATCAGTTAAAAATAACAAAGAAGAACAAAGAGAAAGTAGAAATAAACCAGAAAATCTGAGCTAAAAAGGCTGCGTCAGCAACTGACACCCAATTTCATTGTAAGCTTCCCAGTGACTAAGAAAGCATTTAAAAATGCATACCGAAACACTAGGAGAAAAATCTCTTTTTCTGGGTTCTAAAAGATCAGAGGTTTTAGTACAAAGAACATCTGCTTTTCAAGCATAGAGATATGGCTTTCTGTTTCAGCTCAGAGTTACAGAATTTTGGGCAAGTAAACAGATAATTCTTAGTGCTGTTGTCATCACTTGTAGAAGGAAAAAAATGGTGACCTCACAGGATTGTCCTGAGGTAAGGTGACATTCTACATGTGAAGCACCAGGCCCATACAAGGTCTACAATGAACCACAGGTCCTTTTTCTCTTTTATGTAAGAGATCTTTAGTAAGAACTGTACAAAGCACACAGTACCATTCGTTCTCTAGTGAGTGGAGAATTGGATCAGGAACCATGAGGCTTGTTTTTTAACTAGAACACCAATCTGCAGTTCAGGATTGGAGTAAGGCCACTCCTAGGTTTTGAGTACATTTGGAATGACATGAGGAATTTTATAGGTTGAATTGCTACTGTTTCTGTAATTTTCAGTGGGTGGTATGGTGCCAGGAAGCCAAAATAAGCAGTGTGACACCTTGTAGGCATTCTGAGGTCCCACTGAGATATGCTTAAATGTGGAAAGTGGATGTTGTGAAGGAAGGGAATTGCAGGCCTGGCAGTCTGCCCACTGGGGTCTAATCTATGCTCTCGTATAAGTTTACAGTGAACATGGGCAGACTATTAATCCCATTTGGAGCATAGTTTTTCCACTGGTATATCCAAGAGGTTTAGTGAAATATTCTCTCTGAGGGCCTTTTTAATCTTGTATTTCCTTAGCAAGGAAAAAAAGGATGTTTGAGCATAAGCTCATTAATTCTGGATAAGATTTATTAATTTGCTCTTTCACCAGCATTTATTGAACATCTATTACCTGCCAGACACTATGACAGACCATAGGATATGGAATTAAAAGTCCCTGCTACTCTGAGAAGACAGACACAAAAAAGTACATACCGTACAATTCCAAACTACTATAAGAAACAAAAATCTTTAGCAACATAAAGTAGGTCAGTGGTTTGCTGAAGTAGAAAGGAGATGTAACAGCTAAATGCAATGTGGAATCCTGGATTGGATCCTGGACTGCCAACAGGGCATTAATAACAAAACTGATTAAATTCAAATAAGGTCTGTAGTCAGTAGTATAGTCTCAATGCAAGTTGTAACAACAATGCTATGTGTATGTAAGATGTTCATATTTTAGGAAGCCATTTGAAAGTTTATACTATTTTGGAAACTTTTTTCTAAGTCTGAAGTGATTTCTAAATGAAAAGCTAAGAAAGAAGAAAGAGGGAAATGTGACCTTTGGCAAATTTCTTCCCTTCCCTGAATCTTAGTTCCTTTGTTTAGTTTTCTGTCCCTGTGACAAAAATGTATAACATGCATCATCGTGGGAGCTCATAGTAAAGGAGTTGTTCATTTCAGGTGGCCAAGAAGCAAAGAAAAAGAGGAGTGGCCAAGGTCCTAAAATGCTCTTTAACAGGATCCTCAGTGACCTAAATTCCCACAAACAGGCTCCATCCTTTAAAGGTTCCACCATCTTCCCATAGTGCCATGGGCTGGAGACCAAATTTGACGTATGGGTCTCTGGGGAAATTTAAGATCCAAACTATGGCATTCCTCCTCTGTAGAGCTGGGCAATCATCCCATCCACTTCATAGTGTCAGGAGCTGAAAATGGAATAGTGCAAAGTAGCAGTGTGAACGTGTTGATATGTAATAAGTTATTCTTGCTGTTAGTAATGGCAACACAATTGTCTTCAGCTGCTGAAACCAGAAACATTCCACACAAGTGAAAAACATCTGGGTACAAACTACCAGTCATTTGATATGATCTTGTCCAAGGAAATAATAATGCCAGCTTTGTAGCAGAATGGCTGTTGTCAAGGAGATGGCTCCAGATATCCCAAACAGCTGGTGCCAGTGACATCACCTCCAGGCTTGGTGGAAAGAAAAGCCAGTGATACAGACAGAGCAAAAGCCTCCATCTCTGACCATGAAACCACTACCGTAGCACAGAAAACAACTTCCCACGTAGCCTTTCCTTTCAATTGCTCTATTTTTCAGGTTCCATGTTCACTAAAGAGATTTGTACTAAATCTAGGAACATAGTCTTGCTGAATAGGGCAGTAGATTAATCTTAACAAGGACTTCTTACTGGTTTTTTCTTTTTTTACAATTTCCAAAGTATCTAATGAGATAGTGTACCATATGAGCCTGACATTGTCTGCCTCATTTCACACACAGGAAAACCAGGGCAAATCAAGGCAGAAGGTATCCCTAGTCACAGGATAAGGTGGGGTCAGAATCCAGACATTCAGATTTCTAGGCCTGCAATTATATTACTTACATTAAGATTTACCTCTTAGCCACCTTGGAGCAGTTACCCAAAGAGCAGAGCCTGATGAATGCCTTACTTAAATACTGTGTTATCTAGAGGTAGGCCTCATTTCCCACTCTTAAATTCTAAGGTAGAGAGAAACAAACAAATGTGGAAGACAAGCTGCCTGAAACACTAGGGTTACTGGATTTCAGAGGGACCTGGGCTCAAATTTTTGATCTGGCACATCCCAGTGAGGGACCGCAAGTTGTCCCAGCCTCAGTTTTCTCAAGAATGAGTAATACAGTTATAATAGCACCCATTCTAGAGGATTCATGAAGGTTAAAAGAGATGGTATATGTGATAAGCCTTAACTAAGTGACACAGTAGATGTCCTCAAGAAAAAGTACGACCTCTTTGTTTCTTTTCTCAAGTGGTTTCATTTGCTGAATGGAAAATTATCTCCTTCAATTGGGAAGCGATGATTTAAGACTCAGCTTCCCTCACCAGATTAGAGCTGGTTGTTTGTTAGTAGCTTTGAAATAAGCACAGAGAAATCACTTTCAGAGCAGTAAGGTCCAGAGAGCTCCATCCATCTTTCTTTTTTTTTTGTTTGTTTTTTGTTTTTTCTCTGGTACCGGGAACCGAACTCACGACCTTGTGCTTGCCAGGCAGGCACTTTGCCACTGAGCTAAATCCCCAGCCCCCCATCTTTCATTTAACAGATTTAGAAACAGAGAGTAGAAGTGGTCTGTCAAGGATCATAGAGTAAATGGCACAGCCAGTTTCCCTGTTATTACTCAGTTATTTAACTGAAGGATGAGGAAACTGGGGTGGGGGTTGTTCATGATTACAAGGATGTCATCATTTACAGCTCAATCATGTTTTCAAGTTATTTTCACCCAGGACTCTCCCAATACCGTGTAGAGGAGGAAGCAACACTGAGAGGGAAGGGAAGGTTAATTTGAAAAGGAAGTTCTGTCCAGATTTTCTAGGCATTTTGTGATTACTGTGTACTTTAAGACAATCAGGATTACACGGAGCCTTAAGGTAGCTGGCAGAAGTCCATATCCGGATCCATTTGACAGACTTTGGGCCTCAGTTTACTGATTACAGGTGAGTTTCGGTCCTAAGGGTAATAAAGGATCACTAAGAGCCTGGAAGTGGAATGTGGCTCACTTCGCTCCTATGGATGACCTGTGCCAAACGAAGTGTGCAAATTATTCCTTCTGCTAGGATCCAGGTAGGATTCTTCTAAAGGGAAGCAGTACCTGATTACCTTTCAAGACAAGGCGGAAGCCCTTTGGGTATCTAGATCCTAAAATTTGAGGGTCATTATTCTTGAAAAGCAAACAAACGGTACTCCCATCTCCCGCTCAAATTAACGGACGAAGGCCGGTTTTCACCCTTAACAAAGATGGCGGCTTCCCTGGTTCCCCGCCTTGGTGCCCTTATAAAAAATGGCAGCCAACTTCTCTTGCCTTAATTTGGCCGACCCAAACGTTAGTGCTTTGCCCTTAGTTAAGATGGCATCTACCAACGCTTTTCTGCCCGGCCTCTGGCCTTAGCAGGTCGGCTTCATTGCGCGAGCCTCAATGACCCCGCCTGATTTCCGTAGGAAGAAGCGCCGGGAAAGATGGCGGCAGCTGCGGTTTGAATTCCAGCGGCGCCGCCACAATCTGCACAAGAGCTGGGTTGCAGGGGGCGGGGACCTGGAAGGCCGGGCGGGTCGCAACAGCCGGGGGAAAACCAGTGGCGCTGCCGTCACAGACACTAATACCACCATTGCCTTTGTGTCCATGATGGACTCCGTGTTGGAAGAAGACGTCACTCTGCCCGGGACGTTCAGTGGCTGCAGGTGCGGCCCGGGTACTGGGGATTCGCGGTAACGGGGTCGCAGTTCCCACTGATGGGGTTTCTCTCTAACCCGGCTTTGTGATTTGCTCTGGAGGGTGTGTGGCCAGGGGCATTGTGTGGGTTTGGGTTTCTTCGGGCAAGGTCTCTTGGGGCCCACCTGCCGACAGTGTGGGATCTAGGGCTCTCTTTTGGGTCCTCCATGCTGATGACTGAGTTTGGGGCCTAGGAGTCCGCGATCTGTCCTACAGTCGATCCTTTTTGAGACATACTTTGAAAGGGCATGAAGGAGTAGGGTGAGGGAGAACTGCTTGGAGTATGGCATTAGTGCGGGTTGTTTGGGGGATGGGGACCTTGCAACACTTGATAATTCATTCTGGTTTGGGAGTTCGCATTCATTATGGGGAGTGTAGTCCTTATGTTTAGACTTTGATTATGGATTCACACAATGCCACCTAGGACAGAGGCAGTGGGGTGCAGTGGTTAGGAGCTGTGGCTGGAGATAGAATTGCAATCAAATCCAGCTGTAAACTGATAGTATGTGACCTTGATAAGAGCGACTGGATCAGCTTTTCCATCTGTAAACTGGGTTAAGGTAATACCTACCTTGTAGGATTAGGGTGAAGATTAAAAGAAGCTATGCCCGCATCAATGCTGAAGAGCTGATTTTGTATTGTTGTTATGTTACTACTACTAACATAGGTTGAGTATCCTTTATCTGAAATGGTTAGGACCAGAAATGTTTCAGATTTGGGATTTCTTTTGAATATATTGGAAATGGGACCCAAGTCTAAACATGAAATTTATTTATGTTTCATGTATACTTTATACTCTCTTTCACATACACCTTATATAGATAACCTAAAGGTAATTTGATACAGTATTTTAATGTGCCCATACTTTGTGACCTGTCACATGAAATCAGGTGTGAAATTTTCCACTTGAAGCTGTCATGTTGGCGCTCAAAAAGTTTAGGAATTGGGAGCATTTTGGATTCTTTTTATTTTTTATTTTTTTTCTGGTACCGGGAATCGAACTCACGACCTTGCGCTTGCCAGGCAGGCGCTGTGGCACTGATCTAAATCCCCAGCCCCTGGATTTTTAAATTGAGAGATGTTCAGACTGCACTATCTGTAGTGGAAATCAGGGAACGATGACTGAGACTGGCCTTCCAGTGAATGTGGCTCAAGTGGTTGGAGTCTTTTTTGCTGGTGGGGCTGAGGCCTTTTTGGAGGCCTGATGGGGTGCTATACTGCTCCAGGCTCCTTTGGTTGGAGAGTGGGTAGAAGGAAGAGGAAGAGAAGGCCTGACTGAGAACCCACAGTATTTATCCATTCCTCTCCAGACAGGCAGCTGCTATTTTCAGATCCTACTTGAGAATGGCTTTGTTATTTGTTGTGCACACCAGATGCTATTAAGTGTGAAGTGGGCACAGTTAACTTTTTTGTCTGTTGTCTTAGTTACTTGCGTGTCACTGAGACACAATTCCTGACACCCACAGCTGTAAGGAATGAAAATTCATTTTGGCTCACAGTTTGCAGAGGCTTCAGTCCATAGTCTTGCCTGACTCCCAGGTAGAGGGGTATGGCAGAGGTGGAACAGCTCATGGCATGGCAGTGCGAAGTAGAGCGAGATCAAGGGAGGAGGATAGACTCCTCCAGGCCACGCCCCCAGCGGCTCTCCTCTGACTAGGCTTCATCTCCTACCATCACATTTAGCTGTGAACTCAGTGGACTCATCCATTGACGAGTATCACACCCCCATAATCCAGTCACCTCCCCAAGCCCCACCTAAGAGCGCCTGAGAATTTAGGGGAACATCTAAATAGAAACCATAACACCTGGACCGCAAGATAGGTACAAAAAGGTCCTACCTTGGGCAAATCTGGGAAATGTTTACTCTGTTTATTGAGAACCTCCTTATAGGTATCAGACAAAGAGGATGGCGCTTTGTAGTTAGCTCTGGATCCTGGGAAAGTTCATCCTGTCCCTATTCTCCGTATATGACTGCTGCCGTCTCTCACCTGGGTGGCCCTGTCATCCTTCACATCTCTAATAACCCTTACGTCTACAGCTTGAAAGGTTTTAATTTGTAAATCTTACCCTCACAGGCTGCTTCTATTGAACCCAGGGCCTTTGCACTGAGCTGTACCCCAGACCCCTTTTTATTTTTGGAGACAGGGTCTCTAAATTGCTATATCGCCCAAGCTGGGGTCAAACTTGGGTCTTTTGCCTCAGCTTCTCAAGAGTGCTGGGATTACAGGCATGTAGTACCATACCTGGCTGAACCTCAGTTTTTGTTGTCTATAAAATGGCATAAGAATTAAATGGCATAAGAATTAAAATGACTCTTAAAGGGTTTAGCCCAGTGTCTGACCCGGGCCAGCTCCTCAGCATATCTGCAAACATTCTCCTTTCCTTCTTCTGCCTGCCTTTACGGAGCCCAAGTGCTGAATACATTCCTGATAACTAATGTTTTACCCATTCTGGAGTCTTGGTGGCTCCTTGCCACCTTCAGGTTGGAAGTCTGTAATGCGACTTCCAGGGTCCTTCATAATCTGGCGCCATCTACTTCCGTAGCCTCCCCTGTCTAATTGCCCATCCCTGCCTCTCTCTCATTCCCCTTTGCTTTATCAAGGCCTATTATTTTTCAGAGCTCAATTTAGGTGTCACTGCTGGGAAATCTTCACTGCCATTCCCGAACCTCAGCTAGGCCCTCTGTACCTTTCCTGATCACTTTATCTGTCACCGATCCTAGCTGACCTTACGAAATTTTATTGGCTGGCACTGTCCAGTGTACATAATTTGAACTTTTCTAGCAGCTACCTTAAAAAAAGTAAAAGAAAAAGAATGATTTTTTTCTTTCTTTCTTTTTTGTAGTGCTGGGGAGTCAAACCCAGGACTGCAACATGTGCTTGGTCAGTGCTTTAGCCCTGTTACCCTGCCAAAGCAGTGAATTCAGTAATACTGTATATTTTGTTTAGCCTAATATTTCCATAGATTATTTTAGTTTGTAATTGGTAGAAAAAAATCATTGATGATTTACTTTGTGTCCTTTTTTACCTTACTAAATCTTTGAACTTTGGCATGAATTTTATACTTACAGCACTTCTTAATTTGGACAAACCACATTTTAAGTGCTTAGTGGGTTCCTGTAGCTAAGTAGCTTCTGTATTGGACACTAGAGGTGTTGGTTATTAACTAACCTGTCATCCGGATTTGAGAGCAGGAACTACTTTTCTTTTGTCTTTGTAAATATGGCTCCTAACCTGGTATCAGGGTCTCAGTGACCACATAAGCAGTGATCACTGAATAAGCAGTGATCGTTTGAGGTGATCGTATTATCCCTTCGCTCCGTGGGGCCAGTGAGGCTCAGAAAGCTGAAATGCGTGGTCTGGGATCACCAAAAGAGTGCATGGAGTCAGGATGTAAAATCTATGCTTACTGACTTCAAAGCCTGTCCTGCCTTCCAGCTAGTTTTCTGAACCAGTTTGGATTGAGGGGGCTTGGGGAAGATAGCGCAGAGGTTCTGGACTGAAGTGTTTCTTAGAAGAGCATCCAAAATATCCTAAGAGGCAAGGCCTCCATGAGGGGATAACAATGGAAGAGAGTAATCCCTCAGGTAAAATCTCACTTTTTATTGCACTGTACCACTTTTGGAGTCCTCTTCTGCTTGGTAATTTCCAAGCCCTAGTTTTAAAGACTACACTGTAGTCCAGTCTGTTCTTAAACTTTTGATGAACTAGGACGGCGTGTGTCATTCCCTCCAAACCTTATTGCCTGCGAGTGCCCAGGACAGCTTTGGCTCTGGGACATTTAGGCCCAGGTTCTGGCCCCAGGGACCTCGCCTAAGTGAAGACCTTTTATTAAATCCTGCTTGGTGGTGTGAAAAGTGGCCTTGGTGGTCTAGATGACTGGGTATAAATCCTGGTCCAGCCAGTTCCTAGGTTTGTTGCTTTGAGTAAATCACTTAACTAACCCTTCTGAGTTTCTTTTTAACGATAATACCTATTGTATTGAAGGGCATGCAGATGAAGTGAGAATATGTATATTAAGTGCCTGGAGGAGTGTGAAATGTTAGCTAGTTTTATTGTACTGATGCCCAATGCACTGTTTCTGGAGAGGATCCTCTGTACCATAGCACTCAGCACTTCCCTCCGTGTGTGTCCAGGAGTCTGCTTTGCCCACTGTGAGCGTCCTAAGGTCTGAGCCCAGGCTTGCTTACCTATGAGCCTTTCCAGCACGTGGCCATTAAGCGTTCGTTTTGTGCTCTGAGCACAGTTTGTACTTTCTTGGGCAGAGGGCCTTCATGGACTCAGTAGAAGGTCAGGAAATAGGATAGTGGACTGACATTTCTAGGGAAAGGTGGGTGGTAGTAGAATTGCTGCCTTGGGTTGAGGGGCGTCCTGAGATGTGAGGTATAAGGAGAGCATTGGTTCGTTCTGCACTGTGTTGTAGCACCTGGAATTGTGTCTGGCAGAGCCTTACCACAATTTGTTGAATGAATTAATTTTGTTCATTGTGTTTTTTAAAAAATGAAGAGCATGTGACATAGGCCCCATATTCAGTAGTGAAATACTGCTTGCTGTCCCTGTGGAAAGTTGTGCACAGACTATCCACTGGCATAGTCTTTCTGGAACACAATTTGGCATTATCTGTTAACATTAAAAATTATGCCTATGTGTGTTTTTAAAATAGTTTTATCAAGATATAATTTACAGCCAGGAGTGGTAGTGCATACCTGTAATCCTACTACTATGCAAGGCTGAGGCAGGAAGATCACAAATTCAAGACCAATATGCATGATTTAGCAAGACCCTGACTCAAACAATAAAAAAAGGGCTGTGGATGTAGCTCAGTGTGAAGGCCCTGGGTTCAATCTCCAGTAATTGGAAAAAAAAAAAAGAAAATATAATTTCTATGCTATACAGTTTACCCATTTAAAGTATACCATTCAGTGTTCTTAAAAATTTTTTTATTAAAACAATGTTTTTTTTTCCCTTTTGGAACTGAGGATTGAACCCAGGGTCTCATACATGTTAGACTAGTGCCTTATCACTCAGCTATATTCCAGTCCTTTTTATTTTATTTTTAATTCATTAGTTAACCAATTAAGTGGTACTAGGGATTAAATCGGGGGTCTTCACACTGAGCTATACCCCAGCCCTTCTTATTTTATATTTTGAGACAGAGTCTTGCTAGTTGCCCAGGCTGACCTCAGACTTGTGATCCTCCTACCATAGCCTCCTGAGTAGCTGGGGTTACAGTTACATGCCAGCACGCCCAGAGTCAGTGGTTTTTAGTATATTTAGAGAATCATGCAACCATCACTTTTAGAACATTTTCATCATTCAGAAAGAAACCCTGTGTCATCAGCTGCACTCCCCACTCTTGTACTCCGCCTGCTGTCCCTCCCAGCCCTACAGAACCTTGATCTACTTTTTGTCTCTGACCATTCATAGCCATGGAGTCTCACAGCACGTGAACTCCAGTGAGGTCCGTCCAGGTGGTAGCAGGTATCTGTACTTCATTCCTTTTAATCACCAAGTACTATTCTTTTACCTGTTGTCTTAGTTACTTTTCTCTTATTGCTGGGACAAACTGCCCAACACCCAAAGTTAAAGGAGGAAAGGTTTAGTGAGCTCACAGTTTGTAGAAGTTTCAGTCCATAGTTGGCTGGCTCCAAGGCAGGAGGTAGCACAGCACTGAGGTAGCAGAGAAGCAGCAAGTGGTCAGCAATGAGCAGCGACCTTCTTTCTGTCCCTTATGTCCTTCCTGGCTATCCAGCTTTACGTTGGGTAGCACTCACACACAGGGTGGGCAGCTTTAATCCTAGCATCGCACCACGAATCAATCCCAGCATAACCTTGTTGATACGAGCATAACACCCTAGATCCAGCCACTCTTGAAAAGGTCCCACTATGACTGCGTGAGGCTTTGGGAGGGACATCTAGATACAAGCCATAACACTATCTACCAGATTTTGTTGATTCATTCATATTGATTGGAGTTGGGATGTTTCTTTTTTTGTCTATTATGAATAATGTTGCCATGAACATTTACTTCTCTACAAATTTTCATTTAGATACATTTTCACTTACATCTAACTGGGAGTGGAATTGTTGGGTCATATGGTTAACTCTTTAATGTTTTGAGGAGCTGTCAGAATCTGTTCTAAAGTGGCTATACCACTTGTCCCTCTCATCAGCACTGTTTGAAGGTTCTAGTTGTATTCCTATCCATATCAACACTTGTAATAACTCACTTTTTGACTGTAGCTGTCTGTGGAGGTATAATGTGGTATCTGACTGCCAAATCGATTACTTTTCTGTAGTGACTCATGATATTAAATATCATGTGCTGATTAGCCATCTGTATGTTTTCTTTGGTGAAATGTTTATTCACACCTTTGCCTGGTTTAAAAAATGTGCATATGTTTTGACCCAGCAATTCCTCTTCGTGTTACCTATCCTAAAGTCTGTCCTAGATGTGTCCTCATACATGTGCACAGTGGGGCCTGTCTAAAGATAATTCATACAGCACTGTTTGTAAAAGAAAAACTTGGAGACAAATTGAATGTCATCCATAGAGGGTCAGGTAAATACACATCTTTTCATGTGTCTTTCAGACTGTCTCCCGTAGGTGGCTCGTGAAATTCAACTTCATAGGTTGCAACCAATTTTTAAAAAGTAGAACGGAATATAAAATATTTCAGGAATTAAAGAATGCTTGTATGCATCATGGTTGATAAAATTTGAAAAAAACCACTGCTATGGAATGCTTGGTGGGAGTTAAAAACATTGAAGCAGATCCATTTGTACTGTCATCAGAACAATTTTAAGACACATCTTTAGTAGAGGAAATATGTCACAGAATAATGTATATACTCTGATTGCATTTGTTTTCTTCTTAAGTCAAAAATACAACAGTGTCTCAATGCCTATGAATAGACAGTGCAAGGTCTGGAAGGAGACATCTTTGTCACATCAGTGGGTACCCTCCCGGAGAGCTGTAGAGTCCTTTGTATTTTTTGTATTTATGTTTTTTCTAATTAAAAGTGGATATTGAAGCTATTAATAATGAATAGTGAAACAAATTATACAGAATGAAAGAAGACTTGTTTCAAGACAAACAAAAGTGCACTTGTTGATGTTGTTTACTGTATGTGATGTCCATTTCCATCCACGGACTCTTACAACGCTCTCCGCGACACATGTGGCCCGTGTTGGTTTTGTGGTATAAAAGGACAGTTGTGGCTGGCAGATGCAAGCATGGAAAGAGAGTGTTTCTTTAGGGCAGCAGTAGTGCCAGATAGGAGGCCGCGGTGGTGAAGCTCCGGTGAAACCATTGATTCACTTAGCAAGCAGTTGACCCACAGCAGTAGCCATGGAAGTCCTCACTGCCACTCCCACCCCTGGGGGCAAAGCGTTAGGGGGCTCCATCTTCTGAAGCTAAGTGTGAGTGATCAGAATGGGAAGAGAACTGTTTGGGTTAGAGGTGTGGGCAGAACTGACTGAACCATGCAGATTGCAGAGATACAGAGCATTTTAAAAGTGGGCAGGTAAAGCCCAGGCGGGAATTTGGCAACTTCAAATTACTGCCTGTTTGAAGCTAAGATCGAAATCTTTGGCTTTGCCTGCCAGGTCGTTTTCAGGTGTGATTGACCTTGGCTTTAGTTGTGGATGGGCCTTTCAGCCAGTGGAAGTTCATGTAACAGCTGTGGTAGAGAAAACCCCAGATTAAGGATGTAGGACTGGACTTTAGGCTACACCTGGCCGGTAACCTGGTATGTGATCTTGGTTCTGGGAGCCATCATTTGCGAAAGGTGTTGGTTGAAGTTGACTTTAATTTTTAAAATTCAGTTTAAAAAGTGGAGTGATGCTTATGGGAAGAAATTGGAAATTATAGAAAATTAAATGGGAGGAAAACATCTCTCATTTCCCTGTACATGGCTGTAAATAATTTAGTATATCTCCTTTGTCTTGTTATGTATTTATGGCCCACCTAGTTCCAAGAAAAGGATTTGTGATGCTTTTAGGGCATGTGTGTATATATATATATATATATTTCCTTGTTTGAGGACATGTTCTATTTAAGTTTTTCCAGTTATCTTTTTTTTTTTTTCAATACTAGCGCTCAAACCCTCACATGTGCTAGGCAAGCATTTTGCCTCTGAGCTACATCCTCAGCCTCCAGTTATCTTTAAAGCACATGCATTCTATATAATCATTTGCCTGATGTTGAATTTTTATGAGTTTTCCAGTTTTTTGCTTGATGTGGAAGCTGGAGGTCACATCCTACCTCCAGAGTTTGGCAACTGGGGGAGATTGTCTAAGGAGCACAATGCATTTGGATTTAGAAGCAGAAAAAGCAAACTGTCAATTAGTGAAGCCAAGTGTTCATCAGCTCCTGGTTTACAGGTTATTGGGGGTTAGGTTCTGGATTTGGGTATTCTGCTGCCTGTAACTCTGACTGGGATGCTGAAATTGTCTGGTCTTCAGAGCCTTCTCTGGAAAAAATACACAGACCCCCCCAGGGAATGGGGCAGTGCTAACAACCGTAAGTGTTTTATAAATTATAAAGCACAAGATGTTTCACAGTGACAGTGATATTTTGTTCCCATTTATGTAGCACCCACAATATGCCAGGTACCATGCTGAGCATTTCTTGTTTAGTTGCCAATTACTCCATGAAATAGCTGCTGTTCTCCCTTTAGAGATGAAGAAGGGAGGCTTGGGCAGGTGCATGCAGAGCTTAGAGTAGCATCTAGGGTAGTGTCTGTTACGTCAAATTATATCACCTGTTTATGGTTTTCTTTTCTATGTGTCTCCATATCTACACTCTACCTGTTTATATGACTCAACCAAGATATAACTTCTTGGACCAGTGAATTCTGCATTTTTGTTTGACATTCATAAAACTTTGAGTTGTGTTGATATATTAATGACAGCAATCATGACAACAAGAGTAACAGGTGTCACTTATTTAGCTCTTACCTAGCTCTGCTGGGTGTTTATATACATTAACTCATTTATCTACATTAGTGTGATATGGCCATCTGACAGAGAATGATAGAAGACTCAGAAACCTCAGTAGCTTATACTCGGCACAGTGCCTCTGCACCTAGCATGTATTTGGTACACAGAACATGTGCCGTGTAAATAAATGAGGGAGTGAATGGATGTGCTGCAGGTCACCAGCTACTGTGTGTTAGAACTGGGACTCAGCCCTAAAGCCGGACGCAAACCCAAAACCTGAGTTCTTAAGCTCCGCACGTCATGCCTCCCAGGTAGCTCAGCTGTGTGGCCCACATGGCCATGGCCTGCTGGTTGTGACCTACAGTTCGGGCATTCTGAGCTGTCTCTGTTGTTCAGAGTCCACCTCATCTCTTATCCTGTATGTTCTCTTCTAGTGGCCTTGTTCCTCCTTTTCTGGATGACCAGGATGGCATCAGCACCAGTGCTGGTTTGGGAAATGGAAGTAAGTATACACAGCTGGGTTTCACTTGAAAAAACAAGGGGTAGACAGTAGATTGTGAGCACCTTGAGGCCTGGGACTGGGCTGTCAGTCCTGGGGTCTGGAGCCTCCCTGTCCTGCTGGCACACAGTGGGTGCGTGGTATTTTGCGTTCCACATCATGCTGATTTGCAGTCCACCTCCTTTCACAAATACTGCACTAGAGCAGTGAATAGACTATACTTCACGAGTGTTTTTCTCCTGCTACCAAGCCTGTGGGATTCAGCCAGTGTTAGCTGAACTGAATGACTTCGGGGAAGCCGACATGGATTTGGTGAGTAGGCGCAGTCTGCACTGCTGAGTGCCTGGAGGCCCAGGAGAGCTGCGGTCTGGATTCCATTTGCCGGCCGAGGTCCAGCATTCCTACACGGGCCTGCCCTTTGTACAAATAACTGCTGAGACCATGGGAGATGTCGCCGAGTAAATAAGCAGTGTACTGTATTTAAGCTGGATTATTAAGAGACTTTGCAGTTTGGGTTTGGCTAAGCACGCCTCGTAATTTTCATTGCGAGAATGGGCGAATGTTATCCCAAGTGTCTGTGTGGGTAGTGCTACTAATTAACTGTGTTGAAATACCTTAGAGATATTTTGACTTGTGTTTTTTTTTTTTCTCATCTCCAAAGTGAGTTACGCAAAAAGTTTTTATACACTCCTCCATGCCAGCCTCGGCTTGGCACTAGGATTCGCCATTGAATGTCATTACGTTCAAGCTAAGAACACAGTCAAAGAGTGATGAGAAGGCATTTGTCAGTGTCAGGAGTGAAGAAGTGTGAGGTGCTGTGAGCAGGGGTAAGAGAGAGTTACCTGGTGTGAGTCAGGCGGGAGTTTCCTGAGAAACTGATGTTGGAGCTGAGACTTAAGTAAGATCTAGGGAGGGAAAAAGCAGGCGGCGAGCATCTCGGATGACAGAACAGGTGACAGCATGGCCCAGTTGAAGAGCAAGAAAACCCCTGCGCCCTCTGCACCCTCAGTACAGGGCTCTGCATAGTCTGCCCAGCCCACTCCTCAGCCTCTTTCTGCCGAGTGGTTTCCAAACACCGTGCCCACTCCCACCTTTGAGCTTTTGTCCGGGCTGTTTGCTGGGCGCCCCATCAGCCTGGTGCCTGCCTTCTCTCTCTTTAGAACTTAGCTCAGAACACCTTCTTTGCCTTACAGACTTATGCTTTTTCTCTGAACATTGTATATTTCACTTCACTTTATTTATTCTTTTTGGTTACTTTTAAAATATCTGGAGTCAAACCAGTTCTCATCCACTGACACTGCAGACCACCAGGATCTCTAATCTGGATTATCCCATTATTCTTCTGACTGGTCCTTTTGTTTTTCTGCTAAGCTCTTTATGGTCTGTTCTCTGCAAGGCAGCCAGAGGGAGCCTGGAGCAATGTGAGTCTGCTCCAGTTACTCTCCAGCTCTGAGTCCACTAGCGGCTACTCAGTCCTTAGGCCAGATGCAGTCCTTCTTCCAAAACCTCTCATGGTTTCTCTTCCCCTGTGCCCTTTATTTATTGATCTCCTGCCATTGCCTCTTGGCTGTTCCTCAGACCCAGTGGGCACACTCTCACCCAGGGTCCTCTGCACCAGGAGCGTTCTACCCCAAGAAACTGGCTGCTTCTCTTCAAGCCTGCAGAGTGGTCTTCTCAGTGAGATCATCCTTGATGACCTTATTTAAAATTGCAGTCTCCTCCCCACCCCTGGATTTCCCATTCTTACTCATTTTATTTTCCTCTATAGCATTTTTACCTTTGAATGTATTAGGTAGTTGCCCCATTATTTTGCTTACTGTCTGTCTCTTCCCTCTAGAATAGAAACTCCATTTGTTTCCTGACGCAGCCACATCCAGAAAGCTGCCTGGCAGAAAGCAGGCTCTCCGTGCAGCTTTGGTGGGGGAATGAGTTCATTCATTCACTCCACACATATTTACAGAACATCTACAAAGCACCAGGTACTCTGCTAGGTGTGATAACGGTTTGTTTTCCTCTCCGTCTTGCCCACTTGACTGGGTAGGATCAGTGTCTCCTTCACCAGTGTTTCTCCACTGCACAGGGTGGTGCTTGATGCAGAGCAGGTGTCTCATAAATGTTTATTGAATTAAGGAAGCTGTGGAGAGGTTGGTACCGGCAGTTTTTACTCAAAACAGAGGTCAGCAGTTTCCCGCCCGCTGCCTGCTTTTGGGAGTAAAGTTTTGTGGAACGTGGCCACTTGGTTTATGAGTTAGCTGTGGCTGTTTTTGTGCTGCAAAAGAGGAGTTGTGTAGCTGGTGAGAGATTTTAGGCTTTGTGTGTGGCCTGTTAAGCCAAAATACTCATTGTCTGGTGTTTCACGAAGTTGTCAACTCCTGCATCAACAAGCTTTGTCTCATGCTTTGTTACTGGCATGTGAAGATGAGGAAGTACACATCGGGACAGTCTGTTTTGCCACATGTCCAGCGTATTTTCTGGGTTCATCCCCAACACGCACATTTACACTGGGGATAGTTTACGTCATTCATCAGCATTGGAAGTAAAATGGCTTGGACCTTTCTCTGGTCTCAAACCAGTAAATCACAACAGGCAGAAAACGCCAACAGGGTACACCGTGGAAACTCCGCATGTTTTCTCTTCTCTGGGGTAGTCGCTAGTGGGAATGTTTGCATGCCATGACGTTTTCCTTTGTCTGTTTTGCCTTTTTATAGTGCTCCCCACTGCACCAGAAGAAAAGGTGTCTCCTACTCGAGCACGGAACATGAAAGACTTTGAAAATGTAAGTGGAGATATCAAATTGTTGTTTTTCACAAATCATGTTTGCTGCTGCTGTCCAGCCAGCTGTGGGAGAGAGCTGTGTTTTGTGAGAATTAAGCTGAGTAACACCAGAGGTGGGAGGAACACCAGGGCCTGGGCGTTCTCCGTAGGCTCGTTCCATACATACACAGTCAGCTACCACTGCTTCTGACAAGGTCAGCAAATCCAGCTTTGGGTCCTTCGCATATTTCTGGTGTCCCGAAGATGAGGAAGTGGCACATTGCACAGTTGAAGAGAGCTAACGTTTGTCACAGCCCTCACAATAAAGATTTAACAGAACATGCCTCGCAGGCATGTTCTTTATGGCCCCTGGTTGGTCTTTGCTACAGCTCTTGAGGTATTTTGTATATCCCCATTTTAGAGGTATGGGGTGTTAAGATGAGGAGAGGCCCGTTTATAGTCATGTTACATGTAAAAGGCAGAGCTGGGATTTGGATCTAGGTTTTTAATGACTCTAAAGCTATTGTTGTTTGCACTGCTTTGTGTCTCCCCATTCATCCTGTAGACTTTGTTGCTGTTGAATGGAATATGAGTGGCCCCCACACAACCCTTGTGGCAGTTGCCTGGGAATGGATCACTTGGTGATACATTTGGCTTTCGATACTTAATGTCTTCCAGTGTTGTGTCTTTCATTTGTTAATGGAGAGGGTTTGTTGTCAAGGAACAGGAAAATAAGGTTATTTTCCCGATTCCAATTCTCTTTAACAAGTTACCTGCTCAACGCTCTCATTTATCTTGGGAAGAATTAGACCCTTCTTCATTTGTAACCAAATGAAATCCATACTATGCAAGACACAGGAGACATTTATCAGAGAGAAGACGGAGGACACAGAGAGAAGGGCGCTCCACAATTATGTTCTCTCTCCCCAGTTGTCTTTACAGAACAGAGTGGTACTGTCTCTGGATTTAATTTAGAATACTCATTACCGCTAATAGTTATCTGCAAACCACCAGTGACCAATTGAAGAAATGACTTGTCAGATCTCTAATGGAAACAAGTAATTTCTGAGCTTTGAGTTGTTATAATTTCAGCAGTACAATGCGATCTATGTTGTGGGGTCTGGGGCCTCAAACGAATGAGATTTGATTATTCCGCATCGTGTATAATTAAAATATGCTCTGCTGTTAAATGGTTGTTCCTGTTTTATCACAAGAGTAATAATAGCTACTGTTTATTGAGCTCTTGCTCTGAGCTGGGCCTTTTGTGTCAAGTTCTTTGTATGTATTCCTTTAATATTAACGCAGTGTTCTAAGATAGAGAGCTGTTACTTGTTTTTAAAGGGCACAGTTTTAAATTTTATTTCTAGATGGGAAGATTTAACAGAATTGTAAGGTTTTGGTTTCACATTTTGTGGTCTGCCTTTTGAACTGGAAGGAGCCCTGAATCCCTCTCTTTATTATATGTAGGAGAAACTGAGACTTGGGGACTTGAAGTGGCAGAGCTGTTCTCAGAGACAGTCTGCGCTGCCTGAGGGTCACAGCTTGTAGAGCCAGACTGCCTGTGTGTCCACTTCTGGTTGCTGGCCTTGGGCCACTCTGACTTGCTTCTCCTTTAACATGGGTGTAGTGATGGGGGCGGCTTCTTGGAGCTGTCGGGAGGGCGGACAAGCACAGATGTATTCCTAGCACGGAGTACGTTCCACATGTTAGCTGTTTCTCCTTCTTATTGTTATTGTCATTTTCCCCTGCTCTGCCATGTGATTCTAGTTTCTCTTGCCCAGACTGTTCTTGATGGCCTAAGTCCTGCTTTACTGGAAGGTGAAGGAGAACCTTCTATGCCAGTATGTTTGAGGATTTATGTTTTCTCTTTATGACTGTGGTCCTTTGGCTGCTGTTAGGTTTTTATGGCATTAATATTTTTTATTGTAGCATTTTCAAGAGCAAATTCTGCAGCTGAAATTGAAATGACCACAGTTTTCAGTGTCTCCTGTTCAGCTCTTTTATAAGTCACTGAAATTTTTCATTTGGCCTCAGTTTCGTGTAGTAGATCTCTGTGTGGTGCTAGGCTGAACTTTCTGTGGGGTGCTTATAGGAAATGCGTTTGGCAGCTGAAGCTAATTTTTTCTTTTTTTTGTACTGGGAATTGAACTCAGGACTTGTGCTTGTCAGGCAGGCACTGTGCCACTGAGCTATATCCCTGGGCCTCTAGAGCTAAATTTACTCTCAGCATACATATTAAAGGGGGCTAGACTTAAAGGCAAACTGATTATCCCTCTTCTAGTCATCAGCAGTTGCATTTAGTCCCTAAAGAGTTAAAGTCATCATATTATGTGATACGTGCACACTCATATTTATAGCAGCACAATTATAATCGCTGAATCTTGGAAACAGCCTGTCTGCCCATCAACAGATGAATGGATAAAGAAAACATGGCATTTATACACAATGGAGTACTACTGTGCCATAAAGAAGGTTAACCTAAGGCATTCATAAGTCAGTGGATGCACCTCAAGACTATAACATTAAGTGAAATAAGTCAAACAGAACCATAAATATATGGCATGGTTTCTCCTATATGAGAAACTCAAACTATAAATAAAGAGCAAAGTAAGAGATAGATGATAGGAAGTAGGGGATCTTTTTCAAATGGGAAGGAGAACAAGGGATGGAGGGAGGGAGGGGAAGGGGGTGGGAAAAAAACGAAGAAAAAAATGGAAATAGAGCTTTTGCAAATGGGACGGGCACCACGAGTTGGAAGGAGCGGGGAGGCACAGGAGGCATAGGGGATGAAAGAGGAATTAAGATGTGTTATGTAAATGCACCAACTCCCCACAATAAATGTAAACATTATGTACTGCAAATGTTACTAATAAAAAAGTAGATGCATTTAGTGAAGGTCTAATAAGACATAGGCGCACTTGTGGTTTGCCCAAGTTCATCCGTGCAATGAGCAGTTCAGATACATGCCCGATGCCAGTCTGCCTGCCGGGGGCTTGGAAATCTGCGGTGGATTGAAACCAGGTGTGTTTCCTTGTCAGGAGGCTCAGAGTCTAATTGGGATGGTGGAGAGGAAATGATGAAGTGCGGTAGGAGCCAGGTGCTGTGGGGGCCTCTGAATGGCGGGGAGGTCAGACCACTAGGGACGAGTAGGGACGGGGCAGACAGAGGCCTGGGAGAGCACTGCAGCTGCAAGTACTCATGCAGGATTGAGTGGACGCAACAGAGCCGGGTGGGTTCAGGGAACTGTAAGTTCCCTTTGACCGGAGTGAGGCCCTGTGAGGGGAGTGGGCCGCTGAAGCAGGCAGGGGCTGGATCCTGCGGGTTCCTGAATGTGACACTGCTTGCTTTGAGTTTTGTCCTCCAGGTGAAAGGAAGCCAGTGACGGGTTTTAATAGGGGGTGGGAGTGACCAGAGTTGTGCTTTCAGAGACTACCTAGGCTGGCAACTGTGAGGAAGAGGGTTTGCAGGGGAGCGAGGCTGCTGACAAGGTGATGAGGTAGACGCTGCTGTGGTGGGCTGGGCCAGAGGGAAGAAGCTGGGAGCGAAGGGGCTGCGGTTGGTCGAGGGATGTACAGAGACGGGCCAGGCATCACACTGGAGGAGCTGTGGCTTCATGACATCCGCTCTGCTCCTTCGACACATGGCTCCGGCAGTCCCGAGGGGTGGGGTCTTACTCAGGCTCGGAACCCAGGCCTCTGCAGAAGTCCCTTCACTCTCTTCTCTGTGCTGTGCATGTGCTTATTGACGTGCGAGCCTTCCTTTGGGTCGTTAACCTGGTGACCCAGTGTCCATGCTCCCCCCAAGCGCGAATGTAATCACTTACGTGAAAGGCCTGGCTGGTGGTGGGAAGTTGGTGAGTCAGTTTGGTCTTAAGTAGGAGCCACCTCACGGGTCCTTTCTAGATGGTAATGTGGGGAGCTCCTTGGGCTGAAGGACGCCTGGCGGAGGTAGTGTTTTGTGAAGCACTGTGCTTGTTTGCTGTGACCGGTTCTGGACACTGACATCTTTCTTTCTTTCTTTTTTTTTAAATTGGACTGAGGAACATCTAGTCTGCTGTGGTATATCCACTCTGGGAAGCGGCCTTTATCAGTAGATAGAAGAGTTTAATTCTGGCTTTTGACAGAGAATGACGTGGATACTTTTTCATTTCAATAGTAATGGAAGGCATTATTTAGTGACTGAAATATTTCATAAGAAATGCATTAAAATGAATGGATTGGATCATAATTTACATAATTGCCTACTGTGGGACATTTCAAGTTGTTTCTCATTTATCCCTATTACAAACAAAGCTGTAATAAGTATCCTTGTGCATATATCTTTTTCCAGTTATGTGATTTTTTTTTTTTAGGGTGAATTTCTAGAAATGGACTGTTTGGATGTCAAAGGTTTTGTGTGTAAACTGTACGTAGTGAACAATAGACACTTCAAAGGAAGATTGATTTCAAGAGGATTTTCTCTTAAGAAACTGGGAAAACCCTCAGCTAGGTGTGGCTAAAACTTTTGTCACATCCTGTTCCCACCTAGATCTCTTCGTCTTTGTCCTTTGCTTGACTTTTTCAGTGGTCCTTATTCCTGTTTGTTGAAAATTCATGGTCTCAGCTCAGTCTTACATGGTTTGGCAAGGAGCTTTGAATATTTAAGTTTGCTGTTTGAGCCGGGCATGGTGACTCACATCTGTGAACTAAAGCTAGCACTCAGGAGACTGAGGCAGGAGTATTGCAGTGATTTTGAGGCTGGCCTGGACTATATAGTGACTTCAGGGACAGGCTGAACTACATAGTGAGACTCTGCCTCAAAAATCAAAAACCAAACCAAAAAATTGCTCTTGGATGGCCGTGTTGTGAATTACTTTTCCACAGAGAGCAGCACCTCTCCTCTTTGTACAGCCCTGAAGCTTTTAGAACGCCATGGTGTGCAGGTACATGGAGTGGAGGATGGTGAGAACTGGGTTTCCGGTCTGCTTTGGTCACTTCCTGACATGAGTCATGGCTTCCAGAAGCTCATGTGTAAAGTGGGGCT